TTGAACCCTTGACCCTTCTGTAGTCTAAAACTTGGAATCACGCTGAGGGCGCCAGACAGAATGGAAAGAATGTGGAGGCTGGCTGTCAGACTGAGGGTCATCGACAGAGCAGTAATTTCCTGTTCATTTTATTTTCTTTTTCTATAGTCTATTTTTATTATTTTATTAGCTCTGTGGGCATTTTCTAGCATCTCATCTCCTTGTGTCCATTCTTTCCAGCCAGCCTCTCTCCTGCTCCCCAGGGACTAATTCTAAACCAGTCAGAATAATCCTTTGAAAACAAAAATCAGATTATTCTCTTGTCTGCTTAAAATCCTCACACTTGGTGTCCGAGTGAAGGCCAGGGACAAAGTATTGGCTTTGCACGAGGGAATTCCAGGTTGGACCCCAGGCACCACATGGTCTGAGCACCTCCTAGAGTGAGTGGCCCATGAGCACAGAGCCCGGAGTAAGCTCCCAGCACCACCCAGTGTGTGGCCTCCTTCCAACAAACAACTACAAAGGAGAAAACATTAAAAAAAAAAAAAAAGAACAAATAATCCTCCTCCCTTCCCCCCTCCCCCTCTCCCCAGGGCCAGAGCCGTAGTATAAGGGTTTAAGGTGCCTGCCTTGCATGCACGTGATCCTGGTTCAATCCCTGGCAGCACAAATGGTCCCCTGAGCCCCACCAGGAGTGATTCCTGGACACAAAGCCAGGAGTAATCCCTGAGCAGCCTGGGTGTGGCCTCCAGACCAAAACAACAATAACCCCTAATACTTTCTATTGCACTGAAGATGAAAACCAACATTGTAGGATGACATTGCTTTGTCCTTTCTCCCTTGCCACAAGGAGTTTAGGTTTATCAGGTTACACCCACCACAGTGCTCCTGAGTCACTACCCATTCCTTTGTTTATCTGTAACCACTTCTCTCTGCTCTCTTCCCCAACCAGTTAATCAGCTTTTCCCCCTAATCAGACTCTGTTAATTTGTTAGGTCAGATCCTTCTAGGGCACTGAACTTGTATTGTAAGTTAATGTTGCTTTTCTCCTCTCCTTATGTCTTTTGGATAGTTTACTTTAATGCAATGTCCTTTTTGTATAGATACAGGAAGACTACACACTACACTTGATCTTAGCCAAAAGGCCTGGAGCGATAGCACAGCGGTAGGGCGTTCGCCTTACAAGCGGCCAGCATGGCTGACGCGAGTTTTATTCCTCCGCCCCTCTTGGAGAGCCTGGCAAGCTACTGAGAGTATTCGATATGCCAAACACAGTAACAACAAAGTCTCCAATGGAGACGTTACTGGGCCCGCTCGAGCAAATCGACGATCAACGGGAGGGCCTTTACCTTACCTTACCTTACAGGAAGACAGTTTATATTATGCTTTGTAACTTAGGATTTAATTGGCTTTGAATATTATTCACTCCTGGGCATCTGTTATTCACTCCTGGGCATCTGGATGCTGTCATGATCCAAAAGTAACGATGAGATTAGGACCCTGCTAGGGATAGGAAAGACTGTCTGGATTGAGCACTGTAGTCTGAGATCGAGATGGCCCTAGCTATAAGCTTAATGTATCTCTTACTGTGTCCATACAAAATGATTAAAAGTATGTATGCTTATATGTTTGTTGGACAAGGAGAGGAAAAACACACCCAGGGGATTCCACTCTCGGGTGGGTCGACCTGATAATGAGAATCTGTCCTAGAAGTGGCTTTCCGAGGGAAAGAACTATTGATTGTGACCACACCTATGTGTAATTGTTACCCCAACCCCTCGTGGTTTTGGGATTTAACTAGACTGTAAGAGTGGGCTGGGGGGTCAGGATTCAGACTCCAGAAGGAGAAGGAGAAAGGGGATCCAGATTCCAGAGCCAGAAGGAGAATGAAGGGGGATTGAGAAGGAGAATGAAGTAACATGGGGGAGGAAGAAGCAGGAGGAGAATCAGAGGAGAATGGAGATGGGATTGGAATAAACTGCAGCTAAGACCAACCAGCCTGGCCCTCGTTCCCTCCTTTGCCTGCCCATCTCCATCAACCTCCCCGGGGGTGGGGGAAGCAGCGTGAGACGACCGAACGCAGGCAGCGGGATAGACTGCTGCTGTCTTTTTGAGTTTACACAAACATTATTATTTTTAAAAAATTTTATTAGTGAATCACCATAAGGCTACAGTTACAAACTTACGAACTTTCGTGTTTGCATTACAGTCATACAATGATCGCTTACCCATTCCTCCACCAATGTTCCCAGCATCCCTCCCACCACCCCCACCCCATCCCCCACCACCCCACCCCACCTTAGCGGCAGGGCATTCCCTTTTATTCTCTCTCCTTTTGGGTGTTGTGAAAAACCAACATTATCGTTTGCCTTGCGCGCAGCCAGCCCGGCCGAGCCGGGTTCGATTCCTCTGCCCCTCTTGGAGAGCCCCGCACGCTACTAGAGTATCTCACCCACATGGCAAAGCCTGGCAAGCTCCCCGTGACGTATTTGATATGCCAACATACCGTAACAAGTCTCACAATGGAGGCGTTACTGGGCCTGCTCGAGCAAATCGATGAACAACGGGAGGACAGTGACAGTGACAGTGATTATAATCACCATTATTTAAGCATTCTTTTTCAGCGATGGAGAGAACAGCTTCCTTACCCTGGTGTCTCACACTCGGGACTCTTGCACGCCCTCTGCTGGAGCCCCTACGTCCTCTCTGGCCTCCAGCAGCCGTAGTCAGCTACCCTGCTTGTTTCTCCAGAGCCATCACCTCTCTCTTTCTCTTTTTAATTTCTATTGTTTATTTTATTATTATTATTTTTTGGGTCACACCGAGTGGTGCTCAGGGCTAACCCTGGCTCTATGCTCAGGAATCACTCCTGGCAGGGCTCAGGGGACCATATGGGATGCTGGGAATAGAACATGGGTTGGCCAGTGTGCGAGAAAAGCTCCCTAACAGCTGAGCTATGGCTCTGGCACTACTGTTTATTTATTTTTGGTTTTGGGTTTACTCCTGGCTCTGTGCTCAGAAACTCCTGGTGGGGTTTTGGGGTAGGGGATACTAGGGATCAAACCCAGCTCAGGTGTGTGCAAGGCAAGGGCCCTACCTGTTGTACTATTTCTCTGACTCCTGTTTGTTTTCTTTTTTTTTCTTTTGGTTTTTGGGTCACAACCGGTGATACTCCTGGCTCTGCACTCAGGAGTTACTCCTGGCAGTGCTCAGGGGACCATATGGGATGCTGGGAATCAAACCTGGGTTGGCCGCGTGAAAGCCAAACACCCTACCCGCTGTGCTATCACTCCAGTCCCACTTTTTTTAAATTTATTTTTATTTATTTTTTGCTTTTTGGGTCACACCTGGTGATGCACAGGGGTTACTCCTGGCTCTGCACTCAGGAGTTACTCCTGGCGGTGCTCAGGGGACCATATGGGATGCTGGGAATAATGCCCTACCCGCTGTGCTATCTCTCCAGCCCCTCTGTTTGTTTTTTTAAACAGCTGATACAGAAGAAACTTTGTTTAAAAGGACAGACAGTAGGGTAAGGGCAGGAAGGCTTCTATAGTAACGGAGGGGTCTTCTGAGCAGGACCCCGAGATTCAACTCTTCTAAGAGTGCTTCCCTTTTTCTTTGCGTTCACTGTAGCCTTCTAGTGCTGGTGGATTTGTCCTGCTCTCTGCTTGAGATGCTCCGTCTCCATCATCAGGAGTGATCCCTGAGTGCAGTCAGGAGTAAGTCCTGAGCACCACTGGGAGTGGCTCAAAAACAAAACAAAAATTGTAAGGTAGTCTGGACCTTCAGACTGATCTTGAATTTAAATAAGCTTCATTTTCCTCACTGAGACAAAAATAATAACATGCACATACATTCACATACATTATGGAGGCTCCACTGATTAAATAATGCATTTTTATTTGTTTGTTTTGGGGACCATACTCAGGGTTGCTCAGGGCTTACTTCTGGCTATGCCCACAGAGATCACTCTTGGTGGGTCAGGGGGCCATATGGGGTGCCAGGGATCAAACCCGATCGACCATGTGCAAGGCAAATGCCCTGTTGATATACTGTAGCTGTGGCCCAAACTTTGAAATATTTACTGATGTCTACTGGGCCTTGGGCTGGATCAATAGCACAGAGGGTAAGGCGTTTGCCTTGCACGCGGCTGACATGGGTTTAATTCCTTCACCCCTCTCGGAGAGCCCAATAAGCTACGGAGAGTATCCTGCCCACATGGCAAAACCTGGCAAGCTCCCCTGGCGAATTAGATATGCCAAAAACAGTAACAACAAGTCTCACAATGGAGACATTACTGGTGCCCGCTTGAGCAAATCCATGAACAACAGGAAGACAGTGCTACAGTACTCCTGGGCCTTAGTCATTGGAGGTGGCTATGAGAATCCAGTTGACAAGTGTCTACTGTAATGGATTTTAGTTTCTTTGGGGGAAAAAAAGCCCATAAATTAATTAATTGATCACACTGGGGCTAAAGTCTAGAGAAGTCCCCCAAAGCACTTGGGGGTACGAGAGTGTCCTGAGGCTGGGGAGGAGGGAGGTCACCAACAGGTAGCAAGACCAACATGAACGTCGCCCACTCTAGCAACTTCTCTCTTTTCCTGCAGTGTTTGGGGTTTTATTTTAAATTAAATTAATTTTTTATAAAGTTTTTCACAATAATTCATTACACTTAGTAGTCAAACACCAATCCCACCATCATTGCCCCTTCCCACCGCCATATTTCAAATGTTTCCCCCCCAAAACCCAAACCATGCTCCACAAAGCAGAACCGAAACAATTAATTTTGTATTGCTTGTTATGAATGATCTGCTAAAAGTGACCTAATAAAGTTTCCTTAGAGGAAAGTGTGTGAAGATTGTTGTATTTCATCTTGGAGCCAGTAAGCCCTTGTATAAGAGATTACTAATATGTTTGTTCACTGTCACTGTCACTGTCATCCCGTTAATTATCGATTTACTCCAGCGGGCGCCAGCAGCATCTCCATTTGTCCCAGCCCTGAGATTTTAGCATCGTAAACTTTATGCTCTCTCTCCGGGGATGTGGCACGCCAGCTGGATGTCCTTGGGCATAAAGGTGACATGCTTTGCGGGGAATGCACAGAGGTTGGTGTTGTCAAAGAGCCCCACCAGGTAGGCCTTGCACGTCTCCTGCAGAGCCATGACGGCTGAGCTCTGGGAGTGCAGGTCAGTCCTGAAGTCCTGCGTGATCTCACGCACCAGTCGCTGGAATGGCAGCTTGCCCATAAGCAGCTCGGTGGACTTCAGGTAGCGGCCGATCTCATGTAGCGCCACTGTGTTGGGTAGGTCTTGGTGTGGTTTCTTCATGCCCCCCATGGTTGGCACGCTCTTGTGGACTGCCTTGGTGACCAGTTGCTTGCGGGGTGTCTTCCCGCCCATTGACTTGTGTGCCGTGTGCTTGTATGAGCCCTCTCACTCTTCCCAACTCAGCTGGAGACTCCTTCAGGGTTAGGGAAATGAGACCCATTTTAGCTACTGTTGTTGACATATTTGATACGTCATGGGTGGCTTGCCAGGCTCTGCCATGCAGGCTGGATACTCTCGGTATCTTGCCGGGCTCTCCGGGGGGATAGATGGAGGCTTTTTGTTTGTTAAACCCCATCAAATGTTGTGTGTGACTCTTGGTAATTAGTGGTGCAGAGTATGAGAGGTCGAATTCTAAAAAATTAGAATATGATTATAGAGCAGATTCGCTTATGGGTAAGGCCTATGTTGCTCTCTTCCAGGAGCTTTATTTCAGAGTCTCTGGATCTTGGCTGTTGATGAGATTAGATGGCACCAGGGGCAGTTTGTGGGTGTGAGTGCCAAGCTACTGGTAAACATGGGAACTGGGGGGAGGAGGCCCAGTCCCGCTCTGAGCGGGCTTGGAGATCTCAGCCATGGGTCCCACATACCTGGGTTTTTCTGCAGGTTCCCTTGTGGGTGAGGCTCGTCTGAGCCTGTGGAGAGCGACCTTGAGCATGGCTACGTTGGATTTTCAGCTCCGGGGTTAAGCTGGGGCAGGGAAACTCAACCCACCTCCCTCCAAATTGTCCCGGTGAAGACTGGCGCGGGGTCTGGTGTTTGGGATTTTGGATGTGGAATTCTCCTTCCAGGCTTCTGGCGTCCAGGCTTCTGAATCTGAATGACTTTGACTATGACACGTTTCTTAAAAACAAAATCCTGGGGCTGTAGAGATCGCACAGCGGGTAGGGCATTTGCCTTGCACGTGACTGAACCAGGTTCGATTCCCAGCATCCCATATGGTCCCCTGAGCACCGCCAGGAGTAACTCCTGAGTGCAGAGCCAGGGGTAACCCCTGTGCATTGCCGGGTGTGACCCCAAAAAGCGAAACAAAACAAAAAAAAACAAAAATAAACAAATGAAGTCCTTTACACGAATGAGGAGCAGGAGAGGAAAACCAAGCACAGCATCCTGACCGGGAGCTGGACACAGACCAGATCAAGGTAGGGATGGACAAAGTGATGCGGTGGCTGGACCTGGCTGAGGAAGGCGACTGGACGACCCTCCCTGGGATTGCAGGCGTCCAGACTGAAAGGGCCACAGCAACTCCATTTTGGAAAGCCAGTCTCCATTTTTGTGCCTCAGGGTCGTAAGTTTACAACCTTGTAAGAAAAATGTGTCCCACCCCAAGGGCATGAACGCAAATGCCCAGACATCTGACCGCAGATAACAAGGACGATTCAAGTCAAGGTAAGAAGATGTGTGAACTGCTCTGTTTAGCTTCTGCACCCTCCATTTGCTTGCTCAAGGCCATGAGAATGCACCTGGCAGGGGACACCCCAACACGCAGGCAGGAGGGCAGAGGGCTTAAAACCCCCTCCTGGAGGGCGATTGGGGTTCTGAGTCTCTTAGACTTGTGGACCCTCAGCGCCGAGCCCCTTGTATGAGTGTGTTTTGGTGTGTAAATCACTTGTATCACTTGTCATCCTGTTGTTCATCGATTTGCTAGAGAGGGCACCAGTAACATCTCTATTTGTCCCTGTCGCATGCTAGTGTAGCCCAATGGCATCTGCTGGCTCCAGGAACACGAAGAGCCTCAAACCGTTCATTCTGGGTCTTGATGAAGAAGTCCGACCATCTTGTAGGTGGGCGGCCAGGCATTCTTTTGACGTCCTGTGGAAGCCAGTCTAATGGTGTGTAAATCACGATCACGATCATCCTGTTGTTCGTCGATTGCCTCGAGCAGGTCCCAGTAACGTCTCCTTTGCCCTAGCCCTGAGATTTTTAAAAAGTGTCATATTTAAGGCTCTTTCAGGGTTAGGAGAATGAGACCCATCAGGGTTAGGAGAATGAGACCCATCATTGTTACTGGTATTTGGCATATTGGGTACGCCACGGGGAGTTTGCCAGACTTTGCGGTATGGGCAGGTTACATTCAGTAGCCTGCCAGGTTGTCCAAAGTAAGAATGAGATAATAAGATGAGATAATAAGGTGTGTAAATAAAACCTTGAACTATCTGTCCTTTCTCTATGTGTGTCTCAGTCGGCGGCTGAGCTCAGGTTTGTGGCCACTTGGAGGTTCCACTGAGATCTCTGGTCCCTTAACACAGGCCTTCGAGGGCAGCTGGATTGTTCCAGGCCCTCCCCAACATCTGGATGGTGCTGAAGGTGGGGGTGGCTGGGATGGGGGTTGGCAGTGAAGGTGAGTGGCAGTGCTGTTGGCGAGAGAGAGAAAGAGATAAGAGAGAGAGAGAGGAGAGAGAGGAGAGAGAGGAGAGAGAAGAGGGGGAGAGAGAGGAGAGAGAGGGAGAGAGGAGAGGGGGAGAGGAGAGGGAGAGAGGAGAGAGAGAAGAGAGAGGGAGAGAGAGGGAAGAGAGAGAGAAGGAGAGAGGAAAGAGAAGAGAGAGGAGAGAAAGGGAGAGAGAGGAGAGAGAGGAGAGAGGGAGAGAGGAAAGAGAGCTGCTGGCAGACCATCTGACTCTCCACCAGGGCTTCCCCCTGTTCTTCCAGAGGCTGGTAGCTCCCCGTGGGATATAATATGATGATGGACCTGTTACATCAGCACGAGAAGTTCTTCTGGGTCCTGCCAGAAAACTATGAGGATTCAAGCTGGACAGCCTCAGCCTTTCCTCCTAGACGCCAAGAACGTCACCAAGGACATCTGGATGGAACTTGACTTCTGGGGCTTTCCAACCTTTCCGAAGTCTACGAAGGTCTGAACAGTGACTTGAACCCCACCCAAGGCTCCAGGCTAGTGATCACTCAACACCAGGAAGTTCGAGAAGCATGTGGAGACCCGCCCCAAGCAGGAAGCAGTGTCTGATGCCTTCCTCTGCCGACTGGTTCCCAAAGCAGTGTGTTTGCTCCTGCAGACAGTGCTCGCCGCTATTTCTGCACTAGCTCCCTCCTTCTCACTGTGCCTGCACATGCTTGCTCCCTACATGAGCCAGGTGAACCTCATCCACAGCGGGGCCCCTAAGATCAACTCCTCGGTTTCAGATAAACCTAACACCCACCCCATCCTCATCTTCAGCGCCCAGCAGTGGCCGGGCCTCAGAGGGCAGCAGGTATCCCGGCAAGCTACCGAGAGTATCTCGCCCGCACGGCAGAGCCTGGCAAGCTCCCCGTGACGTATTCGATATGCTAAACACAGTAACAGCAGGTATCCAAGTTCCAGAATATCTGCAAGTTCAATGTGCGCTGCCGGTTCCTAATCTTTTTTTTATTTTCAGGATTTTTTTTGTTAATTGATTCACTTGTTACTGTGTTTGGCACTGTGAGGTACAGTAACAAAACTTTCATGTTTGAGCTTTTATCATACAGTCATCAAACACCCAGCCCTTCACCAGTGCACATTTTCTTTTTTTTTTTTTCTTTTTTTCTTAGTGAAAAACCATGAGGTACAGTTATAGGCTTACAAATTTTGTGCTTGGGTTTCAGTTATACAATGATCAAGTGCCCATCCCTCCACCAGTGCCCGTCATCCATCCCCATGGTCCCAGCATCCCCCCCCCTCATTCCCCCCCCCCCCCCCCCCGTCCCATCCTGCCTCTGTGGCAGGGTATTCCCCCTTGTTCTCTCTCTCTTCTTTTGGGTACTGTGTTTTGCAAGAGAGGCTTTGAGTGGCAATCATGTTTGGTCTATCGACTACTTTTAGCATGCTTCTCCCACCCTGGGAGGACCCTCACAACACTCTTCATTTGGTACTCTCTTCTCTATCTGAGCTTCCTTTTCACCTAGAGCCTGTGGCTGGCCTTCCATTCATGGAGCAAAATTCCTGGTACTAATCTCAGCCATTCACCAGTGCACATTTTCTACCACCAAAATCCCCATTACGTCCCGCCCCCCCCCCCCCCCCCCCCGCCACCATTCCACACCTCCCCCTGCCTGAGTGGCAGACAATTTGCACAATACTTTCTTTCTCTGCTTTAGTTACCTTTTTTTTTTTTTTTTTGCTTTTTTGGGTCATACCCGACGATGCACAGGGGTTACTCCTGGCTCTGCACTCAGGAATTACTCCTGGTGGGTGCTTAGGGATGCTGGGAATCGAACCCAGGTCGGCCGTGTGCAAGGCAAACGCCCTACCCGCTGTGCTATCTCTCCAGCCCCTACTTTAGTTACCTTTGATATTTCGAGACCAGATCCATCACCCCTCATACCTGCCGAAAAGGCCATGCTAGACAATGTGTTTTGTACTGCTTGTTATGGGCTGCAGCGATAGCACAGCGGGTAGGGCGTTTGCCTTGCACGCAGCCAACATGACCGACCTAAGTTTGATTCCTCCGCCCCTCTCGGAGAGCCCAGCAAGCTACCGAGAGTATTGCGCCCTCACAGCAAAGCCTGGCAAGCTACCTGTTAAGTATTCGATATGCCAAACACAGTAACAACAACGTCTCACAATGGAGACATTATTGGGCCCGCTCAAGAAAATCGAAGAACAACGGGAGGACAGTGATTGCTTGTTATGGATACAATACAATGTTGCACAGCCGCATGTTCTAGGAATTCTAAAATTTTAATAATTAGGGTCTGCAGTTCATGCTCTTGATCAGGTTTAAGGATGCTCAGGGCATCTTGAAGAAGTACCGGGGCCACCCTATGCCACAGGTGTCCTTCTACTGCTATTGGTGACATCAGCTGCCTGCTCCAGGTCTGCCCAAATCACCACTTGGGCGCTCCTGGCATCAGTCCTGGGAAGGCCCAGCCCTGGAGGTCCACGTGCAAGGCCCCTGAAGCTCCTGACCCTGCAGCTCCTGGCCCTGCTGGTGCAGGCGCGTGACAGCCTTGCACTGGCCGGCTGGATCGTTGGCTCTGTCCACCTGACCAGAGTCCCACAAAGGAGTTCATGGCTTCAAAAAGAGAGGATGAGGATGAGAAAGGAACATGGCCTGTCAGAGACCTTCAGAAGGGACCGCAGTAGAGACCACGGTGACAATGATAGTTGGAAATGATCACTCTGGACAAGAACCAAGTGCTGAAAGGAGGCAAGGGGATATCCAAGGTATCCTTTCAGTACCTGTATTGTGAACGACAGTGCCCAAAAGGAAAATGAGAGAGAGAGAGAGAGAGAGAGACAGACAGACAGACAGACAGACAGAGACAGAGAGAGACAGAGACAGAGAGAGACAGAGACATAGAGAGAAAGAGACACACACACACACACACACAGAAGATAAACGTGCCTGCCTTAGAGGCAGGCTGCGGGTAGGAGATGATGGGAGGGAAACTGGGGACATTGGTGGTGGGAAATGTGACTGGTGAAGGGATGGATGTTGGATCATTGTATGACTGAAACTCAATCATGAACAACTTTGTAACTGTATATAGCTCATGGTGATTCAATTAAAAAAATAAAAATTTAAATGAGAACTTGAGAAGCTTTAAAAAATGTTATGACCTAAAATAAGACATGTTATGATCTAAAATAACAGTAAGTAAAAAAAAAAAAAAGGGCTAGCCTAGTGGCTTGATTATTTTAACAAGATCTAGACTCTGAATTCTTTTTGGCGGGGGGGCTAG